GGTGCTGTAGCCACACTATTAAGAACCAAATCTTATTAAACTCAACTTGTGAAACTCATAATCCTTTAATCCAGTATAATCTTTTACGCAATAACATGATAGTCAATACCCTATGAAACCTCTCATTAGCAAAAAGCACGTTTTAAAAGCAGTAAGCTCTCTGGGGAAAGGAAATAATCTCATCTGGAGGAATAGAGATTAAAATCTAAAACAATTATCTAGATTTAGTAATAAGGAATTACTGCCATTTACTACTTAAATGTTTAAATTTCTTGAATCTATGGGTTTATAATTTACATCAAATTTGAGAAAAAATAGCCTTTACTTCTTCTGATATTTATTTCTTCAGGTATTTTTCAGGGTTGGACACATACACATACACACACCACCCTATGCCCCCAGCATACACTCCTTTTGGGACTTCGATTACACATATATTAGGTCACTTGAAGTTGTCCTACATTTTAGGGATGCTATTTGCATTAAAAACATTTATTTTTCCTGAGTTTCATTTTGGATACTCTCTACAGCTAGCCTTCAAGTACACGAATCCTATTTGACAATAAATTGTATATTAAAAAAAAAAAACAAATACATGAATCCTTTCTTTTGAAAAGTTTAATCTGCTATGAATCCAATCCAGTTTCTCATTTCAAGTATTATGGTGTTCAACTCCAGGACTCTGACATGAGTTTTTATATCTTCCGTGTTTTTTGTTTTTTTTTTTCTAATGTTTATTTTTGAGAGAGAGAGAGACAGAGCATGAACGTGTAAGGTGCAAAGAGAGAGGAAGACACAGAATCCAAAGCAGGCTCCAGGCTCTGAGCTGTCAGCACAGAGCCTGATGTGGGGCCGGAACCCACGAACCTTGAGGTCATGACCTGAGCCAAAGTTAGATGCCCAACCAACTGAGCCACCCAGGTGCCCCTATATCTGCCGTATTTCTACCTAACTTTTGGAACATATACAATACATTTGTGATAGCTTTTAATGCTATGGTCTTCTAATTCTGCTATCTGCATCAGCTCTGGGTCAGTTTTGATTGAAGGATTATTCTTTTCATTAAGGGTCACGTTTTCCCACTTCTTTGCATGCCTGGTAATCTTTCATTACATGCTAGACACTAATTTTATTTTGTTGGGTGCTGAGCAGGTTTGTATTCCTGTGAATATTCTTCAGCTTTGTTCTGGGATGCATTTAAGTGACTTTGCAATACAGTCTAATGTTTTCAAGATTTGTTGTTATGATTTGTCAGATGCGTGGAGGACAAAGCTCAGTCTAGGGCTAATTAGTCCTTGCTAGTGAGGCAAGATGGCCTTGAGTGCTCTACCCAGTGCCCTATGAGTTATGAATTTTTCTAATCTGCTTGGTAATAATAGGCACTACTCTTGGTCCTGTGTGAGTGCTAGATACTGTTCCTTCTAATTCTTTGAAACTGTTCTTTCCCCAGCTTTGGGTAGTTTCCTCATATGCATGCACCAAATACTTGAGGGGAACCCTCTGTAGATTCCCAGGGTTCTCTTTCTGTGTAATTTCTCCTCTCTAGTAGGCTGTCCTGTGAACTCTAGCCACAATGGTCTCCTTGATTCTCAGTTCCATCTACAGGGCTCTGCCTAGGTTCTCCTTCCTTGTGCCACAGCCCAGAAACTAAATAAAATACGCTGACACAATTTTAAGACCTAATTTGTTTCCTTTCTCTAAGAAGCATTGTCCTTTATTGTCTGATATCAAGCATCTTAAAAACTTATTTGATGTATTTTGTTTGTGTTTTTTAAGTGGGAGGATAAATTCAGTCTGTTACTACTCTATCTTGCCTACTAGTGGAAGTGCCACATCTGAGTAAAATTTTATTCGTTAGCTGTTCTGAATTTTAAAAGCAGAGGAATTGGGCATTTCTCTATAAAAGTATGAACTGAAGTTAATCTAAAATTCTTGCTTTGATAGTTTTTTTTCCCCCTTCTGATTATAGTGTGGTAGCTTTCCATAGAAAAAAATATCTTACCTTAAAAAATATTAAAAAGGTATCTTACCTTTACATCTAAAATAGATTTATGGAATAATGTGATTATCCTATATAACTGCTATCTATTAAATATGTTGTAATTTTCTATAATTAATGCATTTTATAAAGATAGATATTTTTTTTTTCAACGTTTATTTATTTTTTGGGACAGAGAGAGACAGAGCATGAATGGGGGAGGGGCAGAGAGAGAGGGAGACACAGAATCAACAGGGTCCAGGCTCTGAGCCATCAGCCCAGAGCCCGACGCGGGGCTCGAACTCACGGACCGTGAGATCATGACCTGGCTGAAGTCGGACGCTTAACCGACTGCGCCACCCAGGCGCCCCAAGATAGATATTTTTAATGGAGTAAAATAAAAATTATACAAAGCCAGGAAGGACCCTTATCCTCTCATAACCCTATAAAGATCAGAAATGTACAATGTAAAAATGTCAAAAATTAATACACATGTAATGGATTCACCATTACAAAATTCTACAGCATCCAAATAGGGATCCATCTTAGGTGACTACATAATTAAATATGAAAAGATAATCTAGGTCTGATGTTGATGAAGAACGGTAAAGTCTCTTAACTCACTGTAAACCAGAAAACATTTTCTTCTCATTCACTTAGACCTCATAGCCTGCATAATACTCATTCACACTGGCATGTTTTCCCTTAGGTTGGGAAATAAATCACCAAAGAGAAGGCTTAAGATGGAGAACAGAATTCAGGCAACCAGCATAAACTAGTTACAACTTCCTCCTCAACCATGCTATTCTACTTTCCAGAAAATTCATCATCCTTTATATACCTTGAAACTTCTTCCATCAAATTTCATCGCCTTTCTAAGAGGGGAGGCAATTGCCAAAATTGCTGCTTGATCCAGAGGTACAAGGAATGGCAACAGCTGAAATTACATGCCTGAATTAAAAGTTTTCCCCATTCACAAATCGATCTGGCACAATTCTCTATCCTTGTGGATTTCCTGAACTGCATGATGATCCACTGGCACAGGATCACCATCAGTATAGTTTTGTAAGACTAAGTAAGTTTCATTCATTCTGGAGTAGACAGAAGTAATTAAAATTAGGGAAAGGACTGTAAAAACAGGTCATAAGTAGAAGTGATGTCAGGCAGGTCATGTGCCCAGGGAAAGAGCAACGGCAATATAACGGGGACCATGAGGTAGAAAAGCAGAAGCCTTGACTGGGCATGGCTATGAGTTGTAGGTCACTGACAGAAGAGAGAATGAAATGGGTAAGCAAATAATTGGCACTTTCAGGGAAAAGTCCCAGATTTACACAAAACTGAAATCAGGAAGGAAGGCAGAGCCAAGAAAGAGTAATAAGTGAAGGATCAGATTTGATAACTGTGAAAACAGAATTCCCATGATGACCTACTACAGGGTACAGACATGTTGATCCTAAAACCAAACCACCTGGAGGCATTCAATCTGGGTGAGAAAACCGTTCTCAAAGCTCTCTTTCATGAGAAGCTGCTCAAGACACACATTGGACATCCTAACAAGCAGTATATAATTCCTTTTAAAGACGAATCATGAGCAGGCATAGTAACCTACGGCACCGCTTTGAGGTGCTCGTGTTCAAGCAGGGTCATTTGATATTAGTTAAAACTTTGAAACGGATAAAAGTCATTAATTTTGTAGATTTGGTTACACTTTATTTTGCAGGATGATGATAAATGAAATTCATCTGTGGGCAGCATTAAAGAGCTAATAAGTCTCTCTAAATGCCTGATTTACAGAAAATGACTGGCTGGAGGGGGCGGGTGGGCTCTTCTACCTCCACTTCTCTGGGAAAAACATCCTGGGGAATCGGCTGAACCAGGGCCAATACATATCACCATCTAGGCTGTGGACTACATGTGATTAATGCCTCCTGGAGTTGTGCAAAGTAGGGATCTGTCTCTAAAATTAAATTTAACTTTAGATTACACTAACTGAACTGCTTAAATATTTTTTAGTTGTAAGGAATACCATCAAGGAGAGCTTAATTGTAATCAAATACTCTCAAGCTAATTTTATTTATTTATTTATTTATTTATTTATTTATTTATTTATTTAGAAAGTGGGAGCATGAGTAGGGGAGAGGAACACAAGGGGAGGGAGAGGGAGATGGGGAGAGGGAGAAAGTAAGACAAAGAATCTTAAGCAAGCTCCATGCTCAGCATAGAGCCCAACACAGGGCTCGATCCCATGACCCTGGAATCATGACCTGAGTCGAAATCAAGAGTCAGATGCTCAACGGACTGAGCCACCCAGGTGTCCCTCAAGCTAATTTTAAAGTACCAAATATTTTCAATTTCTCTCAAAGCCTTCAATCACATACTATTAGTTTTGTCTAAAAGTTTCACTTGGTAAAGTTCCCTAAATGAAAAGACAGGCTAAGACAGAAAAATGTGAAGAAATTTATACATATTTTCCTAGGCAATTACATGCAGTGCCCTTATAATATACTCTTTCATTTCCTCAAATATTGAAATTTCTATCTTTACATAAATATATAAAAACTATTCAAAATAAAGCTTTGGAGATTGGTTTTAAAGCAAAGGAAAACATCATTGGTGTATTCAAAAGGCAAGTCAATGCACAGACTGATTTTCTGTAACTTGCAAACTCCTATTTTTGGTAATATCTTTCCTAGAAGATAATGGTGGATTTCATTCTCAAGTCATTGTGCTTGGGGCCAACTTAACTCCTTCTCTGACTCCTCAGTTTCCTAAGCTTATAGTTTATATCTTTATCCTTCTACCCTATCTACCTTCATTACCCTTGAAATGCTTACAATTTCAAAGTTGTCACTGTTCAATGCTTTAATGTTAAGACTCTTTAATGGAAATATTAATGCAATATTAATACTACTAATGGCTTGATTTTCTCATTATACATGGAGAATGGCTACCAGGCAACTAGAAGTATAAAATCTCTTTCATGAGTAAAGTTAAAAAACTTCAAGAGATGATATAAACTTACGTATTTCTTCCACAACTTGTGGGTCACATTCTCTGTATTTTTCTACTTCTGCCTTTAGCTGTTCCCTTTGGTCTCGAAGTGAAGAAAGCTCTTTTGCTAGCGTAGTTCGCTCTTCCTGCATTCAAAATAGTTTTATGTACAATTAAGACAAGTAAAATGCCATAGGTTATAAGGCTATACATTTTATAAACATTTTACTTCTCATAACTAATGTGCACTAGGCTTTGGACATTATATATACACATACCTATATTCACAGTATAAGGACAAACTCAATTCTCATTTTTCTCTGAAATCTCAAACATCTATCATATATTTTGATTAACTGGATGGGAATTATATATAGAATGGACCACTCATAAACAGATGAGAAGTCACTGATTATGTATGAATTTAAAGATGACTAGGTCATCATATGTTAGGAAAAAGTGCCTCTTCGATCTATATATAGAAGTAATATTTTAGAGCAACATAATCATTACAAGTGTGGTAGACAATTTTTCAACCTTTAAGGATGATCAACCTTGAAAAATATTTAAAGAGGTCAGAAATAACAGAATTACTGCTTGTGGTCTCCTATCACTTTCCTTTAAAGGTAAACCGGAATAAACTTTTAATACAACAGGATCTGATAAACACCACTTGAAATTTCCCGCCAGAGTTCTCACTAACAGGTAGAAGTCACAGTGTCACAGTTTTCAATTCATATGTGTGAAAGGTTATGGTACAGACTGAGAGGATAAGCCTGAAGCAACACCAAGTAGAGTTCAAGCTGTCTGATGGGACTTATTTAAGGTCCCTTGCTAGTTTATATTTTGGTACCTGTATTTTTTGACTTTTGCCTTTAACTGTTCTCTTTCGTTCCAAAGTGAAGAAGCTCCTTTGCTAGCATTTGTACAGGGAATGCATATACAGGGCATCATGGTCTGACGCAGCACAACCCAACAGAACTCTACAATGACAGAAATGTTCTAGATCTGTGCTCTCCAATGCAGGAAACCTTAGCCACGTGTACCTAGTGAGTACATGATATATGGCTATTGTTACTGAAAAACTGAATTTAACTGCCTATGTTTTAAATTTAAATATAAATAGCCAAAAATGATTACAGTGTATACTGTATTAGTACAACTCAGAAGAGATTTAAAAATAATTACAATACGGGCACCTGGGTGTCTAAGTCAGTTAAGCTTCTGACTCTTGGTTTTAGCTCAGATCATGATCTCACAAGTTCAACTCGTGATCTCATGAGTACAAGCCCCACACTGGGCTCTGTGCTGGCAGCACGGAGCCTGCTTGGGATTCTCTCTCTCTCCCTCTCTCTGTGCCCTTCCCTTGCTCTCTCTCAAAATAAACAAACATTAAAAAAAAAAAAAAAACTATGACATAAGATAATTACTTTGCCACCCACACCCAAATTATACACGCTCCATGAGAAATGAGACAAGCAGCAAAATGGGGAAGAATCTGTGAAGGCAATGATAGTTCTCCAGACACCCTGAACTGGTAGCCATCTCAGACTGTTACTAGCACTGAGATTTTTGCCAAATTACTTCACTTTTTTCTGTTTTTAGTTACTCAAATTAAAAACGGAGACAGTAATAGTGGCCACATCCTTGCACTGTTGGCAGGATTCAATAAATATAAGATGCATTGGGACAGTACTTGCCTGGCTCACAGTAAGCAGATTATAAATGCTAGCTATCTCTTCATCATCATCATCGTCAGCAGCAGCAGCAGCATCATCATGGATAATACCTAGTAAACAGCGGCTAGGTGTTTCTAAAAAATCATGATTGGTGTTCTCACGATTAACACAAGAGTCCATCATTCTCAGGAGCCTTTCTAAACTACTACAGTCTTCTGATAGACGCAAGCACCAACTAGGTTTTTTCCTAGCTGCAATAGATCCAGTGGGCTGGGTAACATGCAGCAGACAACTTTTGGGCATGGGTATGTCACCATTAATCGAAGGTGCTTCTATAATTTATTGCCAATGTTAAAGAAAAAAAAGGATCAAATAAAGAAATAGTAATTGCTCTGTCAATTAAAGAAATATAACAGCTTCAGGTTATGCCAGAACTTACCTTCCCTTGAACATTTTTCAAAAATTACCAAATTCCAATTCCTATCTGTGACTGCTGACTATTCACATAAAAGAAGGTATGTGAAATAATTGTGAAAAGCCACTGCAAACCTGTGATATATTCTTTTCTACAATGTGACGGGGTTTTGTTTTGTTTTTTTAATTTTTAATGATTATTTTTGAGAGACAGAGAGAGTGCGAGTTGAGGATGGGCAAAGAGAGAGGGAGACACAGAATCCAAAGCAGGCTCCAGGCTCCGAGCTGTGAGCACAAAGCCTGACATGGGGCTTGAACCCACAGACTGTGAGACCATGACCTGAGCTGAAGTCGGACACCTAACCGACTGAGCACCCAGGCGCACCATAATGTGACAGGTTTTTCACAATCAAGTGATACAAACAGAGGCCTAGATGGAATGCTTAGTGGTGCCTGCTGATCTTTAATAGTTTTTTTAAGTCATAAATCCATACTTGAGATAAAGATGAAACTAGAAAGTCAAGTGATTTTTAAAAACCCCTAACATAATACTTTAGAGAACATTACACTTTTTAAAATAAAACAGCGTATCAGTATTCATTTAAATAATTTAGAAATATTACAAACCCTCAAGGATAATATATTGGTAGTTTTCAATATGTTCTATGCCAAGACTTAAAAACTTGACTCTCAAAATTTTTCATAAGCATTTATAAAGGGCTTACCTTGTGCCAGGCCCTCTTCTAAATGCTTTGCAAATATAAGCTAGCTTAAGCCACAGGATAACCCAAGGAGGTAGATTTTGTTCCCTATTTTATAGCTGGGAAAACTGAGAACAGAAAATTTAGGAGACTTTCATACCCAGGCCACCTGGCCCCAGAATTTATGCTTCTATGTTATGCTGCCATATATAATATGATAATAAAAAATAAATCTATACTTAAAATTAGTAAATCCTACCAGGTCCAATGTCCATGTCCTTTGCTGTACTCACCTCTCTTCTGATAGGAATGGCATACTCCTCATAGATAACTCTATGTTCTTACTTTTCTATTTAGAATTGACATTATTAAGGAATCTACAGACACAAACTTACCGTTTCATGTCGGCCAACTTTAGCTTTCTCAATGCTTTTCTGTAGATTTGCATGCTTTTGGTTTCCCTCAGATAACTGGAGAATTAAAAGAAACAAAATGGCTTCCAATGATGAACTTGCTTAACATGAAATTTATAAGTCAAGAAGTCAAGATGAGATTTGTTTTCAGCCCAAGTCAGTGTAACAAGTAAGTCAAAAACTACATTGGGAACTAGCTTCTCTAATTTGAAGCAAACTACCATGAATCATTAGGGCAGAATGAAAAAAAAAACAAAAACCAAAAACGCTGAAAAATATATCCTCTCATCCAATCAGAAAAATGAATAATACGCTTTCAGTCTTTTCTGAAATCTTTATTTATCAGGTCCTCCAACTCCATGCCAAGTAACTTGAGGTATATTATTTAGGTAAGAACTGAATTTTAAGTGATGAATCACTAAATTCTACTCCTGAAACCAAAACTATACTATATGTTAGCTAACACAAATTTAAATTAAAAGACATGAATTTGAAAATTCAAAAAAATGTTTTATATACTTCTTTCTTCAAATTTCATTTCATTTCTGCCTAAAGTGAAATAAAACACTCTAGACTATTTCTTACAGACTTGTAGTATTATGGTCTATCTCACTGACTGAGTCAAAAATGAATGCCTCACTTATTATTCTTAAATCAGTTACATTATAAGCCATTACATACTTGATATACTAAGTTCTTCAAGAAGGAAAAATCTATTAGTCTGTTGCAGTTTTTATGCATGTTTTACATACCTTAAAAGTGATCAGTTCAAGTACTATACTAAGCTTAGAAAGTGGTAAGTTATATGTGGAAGTGGATTAAATAATACCAGCATAAAGAGACCAAAACATAGAATATTCATTAGCATATGGCTGGGACCACACCAAAAAGGACTGGATAGCTTAAAAACATTGCTTCCCTTTGTCTCAATTTTATTAATCTCACCTGGGCCCATGACTAAAGCATCAAAGGATATTCCCAATACTAAATTCACCACATCTTCTGCTAGTTAGAAATTTCAGACTCATATGATTAAGAGCCTTCTTAAAATCTATTCCACTCCTCCCTCACTCTTGAGTTACAAACATTTAGAAAATAATTAATGACTGGATGAATTTCTTTAGGCTGATTATAAGAAGCTGACCTTTCACAATATGACCTAGTTATATGTACAGGGTAAATAATACTTATGTGTCATAGATTAAAAATCACAAACAGTATCTTCCAAAAGTTAGTGGCTTTATCCTGGCTTTAGGAAATCTTCCATTTCTCAATATGCATAAAGGAAACATTATCAGCTTTCCTTTAATGGCTCTCTCATCACTGATTCTAATCCATAGCACGAACAAGATCCATCTGTGTTGCCAAGAAGACATCACCACCAAACCAGCTACACCTCTTCTGAGAGTAATTATCTTCCGAGGTTTAAAAAAAAAAAAAAAAAAAAAAAAAAAAAAAAAAAAAAAAAAAAAAAAAAAAAATCTGTAGATTTAGGAGCCAAAATATGCTTTAAAGTCCTAGATTTAACAAGATCTAGTTATTTATTTTTTCTAATTTTTTTTTAACGTTTATTTATTTTTGAGACAGAGAGAGACAGAGCATGAACAGGGGAGGGTCTGAGAGAGAGAGAGGGAGGGAGACATAGAATCTGAAACAGGCTCCAGGCTCTGACTCGGCACAGAGCCCGACGCGGGCTCAAACTCACGAACCGTGAGATCATGACCTGAGCCAAAGTCGGAGGCTTAACCGACTGAGCCACCCAGGCGCCCCAAGATCTAGTTTTTTAAAACAAGGGTTCCCGTTTATAAAATAGTGCCATGTTTAAAAAGTTAATATTCCACCCTGCAGGACTCCCCTGAAATAATAAAGGCATGTGACATTTAAATTCAGGAGTAGAGAATCTTCCAGTGAAAAAATACATATTTCCATTAAAAATGCTTTTTAAAAAACCAGATAAGAAGATGTTATCCAAATAGTTAATAATTATATAAAAATAAGCCAATAATTAGTAGATATATATCTTAATTACACTGATGAAGTGTCTTCCAGGTATTGTATGGCTGCTTGTAAGTATGTATAACTTAAAAGCATTTGAAAGAGCTAATTCAGGAATTCCTTAACTCTGAAAATAATATCTGTTTTAAATGTGATTTCATGATTTGTCATTTTAAGTACGTTGGTAAGGGGGGAAGGCACAACCTAAATGACATGATCAGATGAGAAGCATCTGCTAATTATCCGAAGTACTGAAGCAACTTGGTTCAGCTCAATAGGGAAGGACTCCTGGCCCTTGTTCTCAAAATCTCAACTACCAGAAACAATGAGAGCAACTCCTGTGAGGCGCCCCTGCTAACAGCTTTTCACCTACACATCTCTCAGAAGCAATATTGTTAAAGTTTTTAACACATACCCTGGAATTAAACCAAACCCAGGCTTTCAAGTAAAAAGAGAGGGATTTTTGGCCACTGTATAGATACTATCTAAGCCAATGGTACAAACTTGAGCATATATCAGAATCACCTGAAGGGCTTGTTAAAACACAGGTTGCCAGGCTACACCACGCAGTTTCTGAATAGTAGGTCTGGAGTAGAACTTAATAATCCGTATTTCTAACGTGCTCACAGGTGATGGGTGATGCTGACGCTTCCGGTCTGGGGGCACCACACTTTTGAGAACTACTGGTCTGAACAAAAACCTGTTTTGTTACAATAACAAACCCAACTAAAATACATGAGATATTTATAAATGGGAGAAGATTATCTAGTTCATCAGCAAAAATGAATTACTGCTAAGTATTATAACCTGAACTAGAAACAAAATATCTTAATAATTGTCACTAAAAGAAATACAAAAGACCACATTTACAAAAATAGAAAAATGAGTGATACTCTACATTCCAGAAAGGTATTCACCATAAAATCCCTTTGAAGAGCACTCTATATACATTTCTATAAATAAAACAGGAACAACTATACACTACACCAAGTCCATTTCCTACTTTCATTAAATAACGTTTTAAAACCCAGCAACTCAGAACAAACAACAGCAACAACAACAGATACTACTTACAATTAGTAAGAAGAGGAATTCATCTTTAGATTTGAGGATCTGACACAATGCCTCTCTTTAATGCATTCCAGACCACCTATACAGATACTGAGGGTTGAGAAACATAATGCCAATGTTTTCTAAAGGGGTAGTTCACTGCTTGGAGGAACTGCCTATTCATAAGAGGAACAGAAAGATTGATTCAAGCTGTCTGCATCGGAATTCTGATTTGCTCCTTTTAAGAAATAAAACAATGTCAAAGCATTAGGGAAGGAACATAGAGATTTCCATAGGTGGGAAAGAATGTCAGGGAACAGAGAATGCAGAAAAGAGGTAACAGCAAGAGAAACCAGATCAGTCTACTGCTTTATCAAGACTCACATACAGTATATTATGGGAAAAATAGATTCTATGTCTTTTGTTTCTCTTTAAAAAAAAAAGAGCAGTATCATTTACTTTAATATTTAACATATCTAAAAAGTCTTGTTAGAGTATCTACAACTTTAAAATTTACTTTTTAAGGCAACATTTCATTTAGGCATCAGTGACAAGGAAACTAAGAACACTGAAAAGAAATATATAAAGACAGGAGCCGTGTAATTGCCTTAACAATAGAGAAATTTTAAATCAGTATTTCATGGTATGAATGTGTCACAATTATGTAGCCAAAGGAAATGTTTTGGAAGAATCTTTAATGACACTATAAAATACAGAACAGAGTTTTTAAAAAGCTGGAAACACGACTGTCAATACATTTGAGAGCCTATTCATGACCAAAAAAAAAAAAAAAAAAAAAAAAAAAAAAAAAAAAAACCTGCAAGAAAATGCACAAAAATTTAAAAATGGTTATCTCTGTACTGTGGATCATATTTTTAAACTTTCTATATAATAAGCATATGTCACTATTTAAAAAAATTATTTCCCCATTATAAGCAATATATATTCTCAAGAAATTAAAATGAGTACATTTTTGTTAAAAGACTAAAACAGGGGCACCTGGGTGGCTTAGTAGGTTAAGCATCCTCTTGGTTTCAGCTCAGGTCATGATCTCACAGTTCATGGGTTCGAGCTCCACATGAGGCTCTGCACTGACAGCGCAGAGCCTGCTTGGGATTCATTCTCTCTCTCTCTCTCTCTCTCTCTCTCTCTCTCTGTCCCTCCCCCGCTCACTCTGTGTCTCTCAAAAAATAAACATTAAAAAAAAGTGTTCTTTTGTAGTTTTCTTCATGTATGTCTTGCCCATTTCTTGTTAGGGTTTAATAAAGCTTTGGGTGTTACTGAGGGATAGCCAGTGACCCCTAGCCTAAGTCTATCACTGTCTGGAATGCTCTTTGCCACAGGTGATTTCAGTGGTTCTGAGAAACAACACTCTCCTGCCCTCTGGATCCTAAACTACAAGGCTACAACAGCCATCTTACAACAGTGAAGAAAGCCGACTTCAGTGATATGGGTACCACACAAAAGGCAAAGCCAAGATAAATGCAGAGAAATAGAATCACAATCTTAATTAAATGATACCTGAAGTAGGCCCTACTTTTGACAATTTTTAATTTAATGAGGCATTAAACCAATTTCACCTTTATCATTTATGCCAAGTAAATTTGGGTTTTCTGCCATTACCATCTTAATTCTTACAACAGATAAAGCTTTAATAATAGTCTACTTCATATACCGCTGACTAGCAATGAATGTTGTGAATTTGGATAATTTTAGAAGGTATCAGATTTAAAACAGTCTTACTCTTCTATATTGGGCTGTAGAACTAAGTCTCCAAGAACAGGAGTGAGAAGAATAAATTAATATATGCCAGGAAGGCTCTTCATTCAATAAGCTTTCATGAAGTGCCCACTATATACACAGTTAAAATAGTATTGGCTTGAATCTTTTTGGTAAATTAATATAGTAACAAATAACTCAAGGCATGTAGTGAGCACTGAATGCTGGGTGTTTTTGTATTGTTTTTCCTTATGCAATAGATAGTGCTTATTAAAAGACAATGCTCTGGCACA